CTCCACTGCTTACTTGAACTAACCAGTGCTCTGAAACTTCACACGAGATACCCATTTTTGTCAGCTGATTTTAATATTCATATTTTTTTTTATCTATATTCAGTGAACTTTTTACTCCCATTTCAATGTGTTTGTAACTTTATTTGGACAATAGAATCAAAGAAGGCAAAGAAGGTCAGGTGTATTTCCCCTTGTAACAATTGTATTGTTAGCATGCAGCAAAATAGATGAAGTAGAAATTGTAGGGATCTAAATTGTGCTATATGTTGCACTTATACGAGTACGGGAATACGTGGACACGGACATGGCGATACAAACTATTTTGTGTAATTGGATTTATGTAAAGATCAGACATGAAACCATACACACTTGTTTAATAGTAATATTATGATTTTAGACACTTTGGAGCAGGGTAGTCCCTTAGTAGACACCCTCGTATTCGAATACTATAGGTTAGTATTCAAACACTCCAGTGAATGACTCTTCACAAATGGTTGAGTCGCCCAGCCCCAATGTTTGAAGATTGTAGTTTAGTATGAATACAACCTGATTAATTGTGACGGTTACGTTTTTCCAATTTATGCATATGGATGCTTGGTGGTACATCACATACTCATTTTAAAATGTTAACGTTTTATCTGATTAAAAAATGTCATCTTGTGGAAAAAAAATGAATCAACACTGTTAGATCTGATCTTCACTCAACATTTCTCAATCATATCTTATTGTATTCTCTCTCCCAGTAATTTTTGAAAAATCCTCTCACGAAAACACGACAACAGATTTACGTGGTTCACCAATATTGTATTGGCTACATCCAAGGGGAAGAGGGGGAGCAGTTTTATTATGAAGAGGCAAGAACAGAATACAACTTATATCTATTGCATCTATTTTTTTAAAAAAAAATTTAATATAAGTTGCACAGAATACAGCAGATACTTTAATTAGATAGTATGTTGGTATTGTTCTTGATTACCTTTTATATCAACTACATCTATTTTTTAAAAAAGATTATTTGCATAGATGTGCACATCATTTTTTTGCTCAAATCAAGTGTTTGTCATACTGTTAGAAATTGTTGGCTTGACAATGGTACTAGATAATTTGGTGTTCATTGCATGATACATTGTTGATTTTATTTACTTTGTTTTCTTTATTTTTTGTTTGTTTTTTCTACTATTATATTGTGCATTCTCAATATCAATATAATGCATCAAAATGAGAAGACAATGCATTTTCTGAATCAAGGTACGTGAAGGATAATGTATTCTTTTACAGTGTAATCTCAGAATCAAAGTTGATGCATATGATGGTAAAATTCTTTTGACACAAATATGATGCATCTATATATTCTAGATGGTAAATTTTCTGCAAACAATGGTGCATTTAAATATTCTGCGGTACATTTGAATATGGGTTATATAGAGATACATTGAATGGTGCATATTTTAAAATATTAAAATGCGTATTTAAGATATCCAGGTGCAAGATGAAAGTCTCTCTGAAAAAATAAATTGTTGCACATTAGCTCAAATGATAGAGCGGTATGCATTACGGATATGTGTTTTAATCTCACATAAGTAAATAATTTTTCAAATTTATATTATCCTGATAATAGATTCCGGTACACACAATGCATCACAAGGAGAATGCACCATTGCACCTTTAGAATGACCATTGCACCTTTAGAATGCAACTAACTCAAGTCCAATCAGAAGAAAAACCCAATGGCCAAAGCCTATTTAGTGCACCTTTTTAGCACACAAAATGCATAATTCAATGATTACAAAATGTATCACCAATGTACACAATGCATCACCGAAGAAACATAAGATGCCCTCGACACACAATGCCTTATCTATAAAAATGTATCAAGAAGTCAAATGAGTAAATCACATAATTAGTTCTTTATAATAAGGCGGTTTCATATTTAGTCTTTTGACCTCTATTATCAAATATTGCCCTCGTAGTCCTTTTATGGTTACCTTTCCACAAATAATGCTTTTTTTGATCTTCTTTCATTTGATGTTAATTTAAAGACTAAAAGTATAATTTGACATCAACATTATGTTCTGTGACGTATTCTGATATATATTAGACAAATAACACAAAAAATAATGACTGTGATTGTGTGCTAGTATTCCCACGAAAGATCATATCTGTAGACTATTGTTGTAGTAGAGAATTATTGTAATTCACAAATTATGCATCAGAAACGACCTTTGAAACTGTGTATAACAGGAAAGATATATTATGATTGTGAAATTACAATTTTAACCTTCAAATTAACACTAACATGATAGAAGATAAAAAAAGACTATTTGTGGAAAGATGCTCATAAAAGAAAGGACCACCAGAGTAATATTTGATAATAAAAGACTAAATAGAAAAACCCTCTTATTATAAAATGGCTAATTATTCAATTTACTCAAATCAAATTCATTAGTAATACACACAAGAATCTTAGCCTAATTAGAATGATAAAAAAAATCCACAAATGCATCACTACACAAGTGGATATTTTTAAAGCCTAATTACAAAAGCATAAGTGGCGGGATATCAAGAGGCATTCACTCTGTGTTTCAGTTACTAATTTACCCATTCAAATAGAATCTAATTAACCCTACATTCCCCCACTTTAATTAATGACTTCCATATTAATAACGCATCATATTTAGTAATCTACGTCTGTCTGATTCTTCAGATGACTTATATTACATTGTTATACTCCGTAATAATTAAATTCAGGGTCTAAATTTACAATATCACATAGGGCCTCGTATGCTGTAGGATCGGCCTCCCTGACATTAGGGCATTGATTAAATTCAGGGTCTAAATTTACAATATCACTTAGGTGCTTGTACTGATAATTATTTTTTTAAACTTACAAGTTGCTTATTAATTCTATCTCAAATTATTTGTCCAATTTTGACCTTTTGCAATCAATCACTTTTTACCTTTGACCTCAGATTAAATAGAAATTGTATGGCATATTAACTAGACAAAACAATTTTCGAAAACATAATATAAAATAAATTTAATAAAATTATTTTTGTATCAATATCAAATTAGAGTTTTTATTTAATTAGTTGAAAATTTTGTCAGTTTTAACTGTAAAAAGTTAAAATTGGACAAATGGGCACGGAGGTAATATTTAATTAATTTTTTGAAAAGGGACTTACATGAGAGACCATAGTTTTAAAAAGAAAAATTTGCACTAAATCGGACTAAAACATAATTCATTTCTCAATGTATGTAGGGCTTAACTTTTTTATTCCGTAAATAAGACTTAAAAATATCTAGTGAGAGAAATAATGTTCAGTGATGGTGGATATTTACTTGAATAAGAACTAATGGATAATGATCAATGATCATACATTGGAAAATAAAATATATGGTCCTATATTGAGAACATCATTATGTTTTAGTCCTATTTAGGTAAATTCTTCTTTTAAAAATTCAACCGGTACGGTGATCGAACCAATCGAGGTACTGATTCATTGGTCGAACGAGTGGTTCAAGTATTCGAACCATTGGTTTAAAAATGAGGAATTTATTTAAATAGCACTAAAATATAATGACTTTCCCTAAAGAGCACCACATGTGTTTTTCTTTCCAATGTAGCACTTTTAGTCCTTATGCATTAGTCATTATTCAAGCAAACATTCGTCATCACTGGACATTATGAATATTATTAAGTGCTATGCAAAGAATAAAATATTTTAAGTGCTATTTAGGGAAATGACTTAAGTTTTAGTGCCATTTAGTGCAAATATTTCTTTAAAAATAGAATCAAAAAACACTTTAACTTTAGAATGTACGAAAAGATACTAACATTATAATATAATTATTAAAAATTCTCTAAGACTTTTATAATAACAATCCTTTGACCTACTTGTTTCTCGGCCTCTTAGCACTCCAACAATCACCCTCTAATTCCCAAACTGAATTAGAGAGGTCTTACACTCCAAGTAGCTCTTGCATCCCCTTGAATCACTACTACAGGAAATACTGTTTGTATCACTTGTTTTTGTACCTTTGAATCGGTTCATAACCGATGCAAAATGTAAACGCGATGTAATTGGTGCAAATACTTTTTCGCATCAGTTGTTAAACCGATACAAAAAGTCCTCAATCTAGGATTACTTGATTCACACTAATGTAGGGTTTTTTGAATCGGTTATTTGGAAACAACCAATTAAAAAAGTAACTCCTAGGACTAGCGCGCCAGTTTCAGTCACCTCGGGCATTGACGAATTTCAGCCCTCCTTGTCATTAAAAACCAAGTCCCGAGCGACTAATTAATAACTAGTCGACTGCTTTGTGGATCAAATAGTCGGTATGCCTTCGTTCCTAGTTCACACCCAGGACATAATTATTGGATTCAAAATTCTTCCCATAGGATTAGGAGAAGACTCAGACGAGTTTCAGAGCACGGGCAATGGCAAGTAACAAAATGGAATGCCACACGTTGACGTGACACATTTCAACCAATAAAAGACAGTCCAATCAGCGTGTGGCAAGTGAGTGGAGTGGCATCTCGTGCAGTGGCAAGTAACTGTTTTTGTCAATTTTTTTTGATTTTTTAATGCATTTTAATTATTAAAAATTATTTCGTTTATCTTTTTTTAAATAGATGTACTCTTTTTTTAAAAATTTATTTCTTCTACAAAAAAAAAAAAAAAAAAATACCTGGACTGCCTCGCGCCTCACACGCTTGGCGTGGAGGAAGGCTAAGCCACGCGAGGCAATTTTTCCAAATGAGCTGATGTGGCGCAGCGAGCGAGGAAATGCCTCGCCGCTGCGCATGCTCTCACACTATTATATTCCCTTAACCAAAATGAAACCACAACCATATCATTCTACTAGTAACAATTTCAGATGGAACGAGCTAGCTTAGGAGGAAAGAAAAGTGTACTACGTACATACTAAAACACCAAACAACCACGTTTCATAAACCGAATGTTAGAACAATAGTACATATATAATGATATCAAAAGTCAAAAGACCCAGAGATTACACATCAAACACACACAAAAAAACACACGTACAACTGGACAACATTATATAATAAAAATGGTAGCAGACCACAATATAATGATCGAGAAGGAAGATCATAAAATTAAAAGAAGACATACGTACGCCATGCATGCATGCAAAGGATATATGAATGACGACGACGATGATCATGGCAAGTCGTCTTCATCATCAAATATGTTTGCAGCAGTAGGATCATCATAGTTATTAGTTTTAGTGAAGTACTTTTTGTTTGGTCCATATCTGTTGTCACTCATCCCCTGGGGTTGCTGCTTGTTCTGGAAGTAATTCTTATAGTAATAGTACTTATTGCTCTTGGCCACGGCGGCGCTTCTCTCGTCGTCCTCCGTCTCCTTCTGGCGGTAATAGTTGCTGTTGTAGGACGGGAGGTTCAGGGGCGGTGTCTCACGTATCTCAGTGGTGGTGCCGCCGCCGCGGGTGCTCTGAGCATAATAATTAGGAATCTCCTCCTCCTTCTCAGCTGTTGGCTCCGCGGATGTGATGTATGCATATTCGTTGTAGTTCCACGGGAGCTTTCTAGTTTTGGCCGCGGCGGCGGTTGTGTGCGGTGGCGGCGGCGATTTGGTTATGGTGCTTTGAGCATAGTAATTCTTTGGAATCTCCTCCGCCTTCTCAGTTGTTGGCTCTGCGGATGTGATGTATGCAACTTTGTTGTAGTTCCACGGGAGCTTTGAAGCTCCGGGCACGGCGGGGTTGGGGTTGGGGCTGTGGGGCAAGTGCGGCAAGTTTCTAGTAGCACTGTAGCGGGTGCTTTGAGCATAATTATTATAATAATTATGATTAGCAATGTCCTCCTCGGTTGGCTTCGCGGGTGTGACGTATGCATCGCCTTTGACGTTCCACGGGAGTTTTGTAGTTTTGGCCGCGGCGGTTGTGGGCGGCGGCGGCGGCGCTGTAGACGGGGGAGTGTCGTCATGCTGGTTATTGTTGTACTTATTATTATAAAGCTCTTCATTTTCTTGAGTGAAGCTAGGCAAATCATCGGAGGATGTGTCCATCATCTGCACCGGTGAAGCAGGACCGTCATAGTTGGTGAATTTGTAGAAAGAGCCGCCGCCGCGGGCGGATGCGGTGTGGACGCGGCGGAGTAGGAGTAGGGACAGGAGGAGGAGGTGAAAATAATAAGAAGCCATTATTGAGATAGACAGAGATAATAATAGATGATGGTGATCGATCAACTATATGATTCTCTTTGCTTATATAGGCAATAATCCCACCCACCTCCCACTTTCCTCCTTCTTCTAGTCTCCATGTATGATTTGAATGTAAGAAAAATATGTGTGCTATTCACATTTACGTTGCACTTTTACAAGGAATATTTGACACCAAAAGAAAGTTGCCTATTTTAGGTACTAATGTTCAACAATAACGAATGATAATCGCCGAAATATATGGGTTGTGCCTACATCTTTTTGACGTTTTTTTTCTTTCTGAAATTTGCACTAAATAGGACTAAAACATAATTACTTTCCTAATGTAGGACTTAATCTTTTTTATTCCCTAAATAGGACTTATTAATGACCTAGAAGAAGGAATAATATCCAGTAATGATAGATATTTAGTTAAATAATGACTACTTGATAATGACCAAAGTTCCTATATTGGGAAATAAAAACATATGGTTCTATATTGGAAAAGTCATTATGTTTTAGTCATATTTAGGTAAATTTCTCTTTTACTTTATTAACCATCATACTTCCTCCCTCATATAAAATTTTTCAAAATTAAATATTGGCCCGCGTTAAAAATATATAAATTTGATATAATTTTCTAATTACTCCCTCCGTCCCAAATTATTTGTAACGTTTGCTTTTTCAGCAGTCGCGGGAACTTTTGTTTATTTCTTCGTTTTCATTGGTTATTTGATAAAATAATATATTCTTGACACCTCTTATTTCGAAGAACTTTTCATGTAGTTTTTTGATATGTAAATTTTATTTTTTATTTCTATACCAATATGTAAATAAAATGAATTGAAAAAACTTGATATTTTGCCTTGGAAATACAAATGTGGCAAATATTTAGGAACGGAGGGAGTATGACTTATTTATCATATACATTATATCCCACTCTTTTATATATTACATACAAAATTTAAAAAAATATGAAAATTTTACATTTTTCTACTTTGAAAAGTTTTATGAGACAAAGGAAGTAGTTTCTGAGGCGTTCATCAGGTGCATTCGCACAAGGTCCATTATATGGATTATTCTTCCGTTATTCTACAATAAAGTCTACGTTTTTTAATAAAAGTTCAAAAAATATACTTCTTCTGTCCAAAAAGTATCTTCTCGTTCACTATTCACAGGATCAAATTGTATTTACTTTGTTACCTATTTGATAATATAATATAGTCATGTCACCTCTAGTTTTGTAGATCATTTTATATAGTTTTTTAATTTGTAATTTTCATTTTTTAAATTCACACCATTTTTCATATAAAATGATTTGAAAATAACTCCGATCAAACATCATAACGCACAATGGAGAGATAATTTTTGGACGGAGGGAGTATTAGAAAGTGTTGAAAAGTAAATGATGTACGTGATCATTGTGGTGATTTAAAAAAAAAACTAAAAATTGTGAGATACAAATTCTTTTTTACTACTCCCTCTGTCCTCCATAGATCTTCCCAATAGCTCTTTTTCTTTGTCCACAATAGATTTTCTCATTTCATTTTTTATTAAGTAAAATGCCACAACTACCTCCACTTACTTTATTTATTACACCTCACCCACCTTATTTAATACACTCCACCCACTTTTCATTAAGGGTATTATGGTAAACTTTCACCTTTTTTTAACTCTCCTTAAAAACCACCAAAATTCAAAATGAGAACATCTTAGGGGGACGGAGTGAGTAAAAAATAGTGTAAACCTTGAAGCAAAATAAATGAATCAACTCATTCTAGTTATCATTCAAAAAGAAGTAAACGGGTTAATTCTTTCACTTAGCCTTAATTATTACGGAGTAGTATTCTTTGCACGCGTGATTAGCGGCGAAAAAAGATTTAATTGGTCGTGAAGAAAAAAATCAAAGCCGGGAACGATACGGCGCGCTTTATCTAGGACTAACCTGAGAGTGGGGGAAGAAACATTAAGGAGGGTGTATTCAATCAAGATTCTGTAGGATTTTTTTGGATTTTAAAAGTCTGTGTGTATTCAATTGAGATTTTAAAAAATCATTTAAAATCTGTAGGTATTCAACAGAGATTTTAAAAAATCTTTCTAAATCTAATGATATTGAAAAAATGATAGATTTTAAAGGATTGTTATAAAATATGGATTGTGAAGGATTTTATACTTGAAGTATAAATAAAAATTTTGTTTTCAAATCCAACCAAAAGACTAGGGATTTTGTGTGGACTCCAAATCTCCGGATCTTTCTCTCTTCCTCCCGCACGATTCTTCATCTTCTCCGGTCATCCCCACCCACGCCCCTGCCCAATCACCATTCCTTACTTGTCTTTGTTCTGGAAGATCTGCAGCATTCCAAAAGCCAGTGGCGGAGGAGTGGAATCAGTCCACTTTATGTTTTTATGAAAATTGATGATTCTTAAGAGTGACCCAATCATCATTGAAACTGGAAGAACAGAGGATGGCCATTGGAAGCTTCAAACTGCTAACCGAGAATGGAGCAGAGCAGATCCTTCTTCAGGTTGAAGACCTGGGGACGATGGCAGGTGGCCGCTAGAGAGAGGATGCTTTGGGTCTCTGAGGGTTCCTTGAACATGTAGCAGTGCTTATTTTAAAGTACTTATTTGCAGCAGAATTGCAGTACTTATTTGATTACAAAGAAGTTCATTCTCAAAGTACTCCGTAATGTTTATGGCTGTAGTGGCACTGGGCAGATCCAGATTTGGGAAGGAAGGGCAAGTGTTATGGATGAATAAAAAAGTTGAACAAACATGAAATCCATCTAAATCAATAAACAAATCTCCTCAAGTATATAAAATTCCATGTAAATCAATAAAAGAATCCGCCAAATTCTACATGGAGTCAATGGATTTTCTAAATCCACCGACTTTTTAAAGTCCAAAAAAATCTTACAGAGTTGTAATTGAATACACCCCCCTAAAGAGAGTAAAAATTCTATATTGTGGACTTCAATACACAAAATCTAAATGAGTTTTATTTATTTTTTCTTTAAAAGAAATGATAAATACTTATCTTAAGAATAAGCAAATGTTAATTTAAAATATTATTTGTCTAAAAAAAGACATATATTCCCTATTATCTTGTCTCTAAGTATTTGTTTAATTTTGATTTTTTACAGTCAATTATATTTAACATTTGACCTTGAACTAAATAAAAATCATATGAGATACTCCCTCTGTTTTTTAAAACACTTCCTCTTTCATTTTTTTTACTTCCAACAAAACACTTCCACTTTCTATTAAAAAACCACTTTTACCCTTACTTTTTCATACCCTACCTATCACATCATACTTTATCTCTAATAATCTATCCATCACATCTTACTTTTACCTATCACATCAAGGGCAAAATTGGAAGTCAACTACAATTTAATACTTCCTTATTTTTACACAAAGTCAAAATAGGAACACTTTTTCCAAACGGAGGGAGTATTAATTAGAAAAAACAAATTTTTGAAAATATTAATAAGATTTAATAAAATTATTTTTCAATCAATATCTAATGTCAATTTTATTTAATTAATGGTCAAAATTTGTCAACAGCCTCTCTACTTTCTAGCTCTGCATACACACACCTTCCCCACACTCTATTTTTGTACATGAGATTCTACTCAGAAGCGTAAGTGGTAGTATTTATTTGGTTATTTTTTTACTAGATAGTTAGAAGAAGAAATATACTCGTACAAAAAAAGTAGGTAAAAAAGAGACAGAAGAAAAATACAACAAAGGTGCACCAAAAGTCTCCCATATATCGATTAGGTAAATTCTTCGATGGATTTAAGCTCTACCTAGATTTTCATAGACGTTATTTGTAAGTGAAATTTGCACTGAATAGGACTAAAACATAAGTCATTTCCTAATGTAAGACTTAAACTTTTTTATTCCCTAAATAAGAATTAATAATGACCAGTGAGAAGAATAATGTCCAAGTAACGCTGGATATTTAGTTGAATAATGATTAATAGATAATGACCAATGATCCTAACATTAAGAAATAAAAACATATATATGGTCCTATATTAAGAAATTCATTATGCTTTAGTCTTATTTAGATAATTAAGTAGAGTAGTGTTTTTAAAATATACTAATATGAGAAAGTTCACATATTATATTGTGTTGTTGTATGGACTTAAAATCCTTAATAAAACACTCTTTTTTAATAATCCTTTTTGAAGTTAATGGATTAGAACCTTAAAAAAAGGATTAGGCCCTAAGATTTAACAATTGGCCTTAGACTCAAGAACAACGACAAGAACCACCAAAAAATTAATTATACTTCTTCCCTTCTATAAAATGTCACATTTCACTATTTAAAAATGATACAAACTTTTTTTATCTGTGCGTTTTGATTGATTATTTGATAAAATAAAATATTCTTGTCACTTCTTGTTTTGTAGAATTTTTGACATAGTCTTTTTATATGTAAGTTTTATTTTTACTCGCAGTATTTTTTTACAGAATTTTAAATAAAATAAATTTAAAAAAACTTAATATTTCATTTCTTTTTGTATAATGTAACATTCTCTTTGAAAGACTTATGAACAAAAAAAAATACTTCCTCCGTCCCGTAAAAAAGTTCCCATTTTAATTAATATTTAATCAAATATTTACACGCTTTGATTACAAATTCTGAGAGAGGTATATTGAATTATAAAATAAATTTAATATAATTGAATTCATCTTAAGATCTAGTTTTGATATCTCAAATTCTTTTAGCATTTCTTTATTTAGATTATATTAAATTTATGGTCAAAGCGTGTAACTTTTGACCAAAAATACATCCAAATGGAAACTTTTTTATGGGACGGAGGAAGTATGTAACATCTCTTTGGAGTTTGGAACAAGGAGAGTATGAACTCAAATAATGTGGCGGGCCTCGTTGCTATGGGCTCAGCCCCACAAGGCACAAGAGACTTGACGGGCCAAAAAATACTTGTTGGGCTGGTCCATGCCTCACTCTTTAAACTGAGGCCCGGGAATCCTATAGCTTATCCAAAAGGCCAAATATATC